TAGTAAAACCTCACATGGTGCACTGGTTGCTACGTAACTACATGCATACTAGTTACTTACAGTATCAAAATCAATATTAGGATCAGCTCCTTTTTCAAGTAGCACCTCAACAATTTTGAAATCATGCTTCTCAATGGCTACAATAAGAGCAGGATTATAACCAGATGTATACTATTGTAACAAATTAGAATACTACAGTATACATGTACTGTAGCTACAAACCTCAGTAACTTTAGGATCAGCTCCTTTCTCCAGTAACAATTTTACTATATAAATATTATCCTTTTTAATGGCTACAATAAGAGCAGGATTATAACCAGATGTATCCTATTGTAACAAATTAGAATACTACAGTATACATGTACTGTAGCTACAAACCTTAGTAACATTAGGATCAGCTCCTTTCTCCAGTAACAATTTAACAATATCAATATTATCCTTTTCAATGGCTACAATAAGAGCAGGATTATCACCAGATGTATACTATTGTAACAAATTAGAATACTACAGTATACATGTACTGTAGCTACAAACCTCAGTAACTTTAGGATCAGCTCCTTTCTCCAGTAACAATTTTACTATATAAATATTATCCTTTTTAATGGCTACAATAAGAGCAGGATTATAACCAGATGTATCCTATTGTAACAAATTAGAATACTACAGTATACATGTACTGTAGCTACAAACCTTAGTAACATTAGGATCAGCTCCTTTCTCCAGTAACAATTTAACAATATCAATATTATCCTTTTCAATGGCTACAATAAGAGCAGGATTATCACCAGATGTATACTATTGTAACAAATTAGAATGCTACAGTATACATGTACTGTAGCTACAAACCTCAGTAACTTTAGGATCAGCTCCTTTCTCCAGTAACAATTTTACTATATAAATATTATCCTTTTTAATGGCTACAATAAGAGCAGGATTATAACCAGATGTATACTATTGTAACAAATTAGAATACTACAGTATACATGTACTGTAGCTACAAACCTTAGTAACATTAGGATCAGCTCCTTTCTCCAGTAACAATTTAACAATATCAATATTACCTTTTTCAATGGCTATAATAAGAGCAGGAGAGCCGCCAGATGGATACTATTGCAATAAATTAGAATACTACAGAATACATGTACTGTAGCTACAAACCTTAGTAACATTAGGATCAGCTCCTTTCTCCAGTAACAATTTAACAATATCAATATTACCTTTTTCAATGGCTATAATAAGAGCAGGAGAGCCGCCAGATGGATACTATTGCAATAAATTAGAATACTACAGAATACATGTACTGTAGCTACAAACCTCAGTAACATTAGGATCAGCTCCTTTCTCCAGTAACAATTTCACTATATCAATATTATCCGTTTCAATGGCTACAATAAGAGCAGGATTATCACCAGATGTATACTATTGTAACAAATTAGAATACTACAGTATACATGTACTGTAGCTACAAACCTCAGTAACTTTAGGATCAGTTCCTTTCTCCAGTAACAATTTCACTATATCAATATTATCCTTTTCAATGGCTACAATAAGAGCAGGATTATCACCAAATGTATACTATTGTAACAAATTAGAATACTACAGTATACATGTACTGTAGCTACAAACCTTAGTAACATTAGGATCAGCTCCTTTCTCAGTAACAATTTAACAATATCAATATTACCTTTTTCAATGGCTATAATAAGAGCA